AACTAGTAAGTGACCTATGGGTGATATAGTTAATTAATAAAATTCCGTCTTAAAAATGTTATATTTTTATAGTAAAAGTAACATTTATTTGTAGAGATAGTAACAGTACGGGTCAAAGGAAAAAAACCCAGTTTTTCTCCTCTCGACGATCCAGCCTCTGATTTTTGCGTGATAAATATCCGTCTGAATATGTTAGTACAGAATTCCGCTCCTAAATTTTACGTGCGTAAATATTCATTCGTGTTTTCAGCCCTAAGAATGAAATTAAAATAATGGAGATAACCGAGAAATTTGTAATAATCGAGTTGTTTGAGCAATTTCTCATCACTACTCACTTAAAACTTTTGACAGTACGCGGATTACTGTATTAACAAACCACACAACCTGACCAGACATAACAGAGTACACCAGTGTTTTTCATTTTTAAGCCATTTATTATATTTTGTGGCAATTCTATTCAAATTTTTGCTTTAGATCTGCGTATCTCTTATATAAATATATATAAAATAAACATGTATATATATGCATAATCATTAAAGTTTATGGAGCACGATAATAAGGATGTAATTTTTTATAATTAATACAAAACTTATCATAAGTAGTAATGGTTTAAAACATAACAAAAATAACTTTTTAATTTTATAATTCAATTTTACTTTTATAATTTTATCTGGTTGGTTTGTACTTACAGTTCAGTTCAACATTCGAATCGCTTCTAGGATTGATCAGGCATATGGAGTTAGGATGATTCTTCCCTTCTCGTAAGTTCTGTAAAGCACGCGTAATGTGATGGAGTATTTGAAGAACTACTCGGATTCCCAAAAAAGTTCTTACGTTTTTGTTTCGTTCTAACGGATTTTTGCGTATTTAATTTGCTAGGGCTTAATCTCGTCCTAATATCTGATGTAACAGTAAACCAATCAGCGTTTTGATGAAATGCTTTCACTTTATTGGATAAAATAGTAGCGCTGTTTACAAAATAGGAATTCACTACAGGTACACGAACGAATTTCTGGCAACTGAACGTTTCGTCCGTCACCTTTAAAACCGGAGAAAATTACGAGAGGAAAAATTGTATTCACGTGGCAACCGGATTAGTTTATTGAGAATCACAGATGATGTTGTATGTAGGATCTGCTTATTTACATTATTAATGCTGTATTTGGTGGAAATATCACAAATTTGTGTTATTCTTAGTTTATTTTGGTTTGTTAAATTTAACCCTAGAGACTTCTAAGAGGAATGAGAGTGTAAGTAGTGATGTTAAACGTAAACCTTATCGATCCAAGATAACTTAGAACTATTGAAAAAAAATGGACCGTGGTGTTTCATTTAGTAAGTAGTGAAATCTGGTTATACTGGTCATCATACTGGTCATCAACTATAAGTATCTAGACCGAACACCCACAGGCCGGATGGCTGAGCGGTCAAGGTGGCAGCCTACCGATTTGGGGGACCCGGATCGAATCCGAAAGGGGTCGAAAAATCCCCAGAAATTTTCGAGATGGCCCGTTTAGATACGTCAGGTCCCGTCCCTCACCACCCAGTCGCTCCATTGTGGGCCTGGCCGAACCCACAATGGGCTTGATAAAAAAGAGGCCCTCTTAGTGCCCACAGGGCAGAAAGAGTTTTAAAAAATACTGAACGATACTCATAATCCAAAAAAGGAACGAGTCCGTGACACTTTAGACCAGTGATTCCCAAACTTTTTCGATCCACCGTCCCCTTTGTTCCGTAAAGTTATACCCAACGCTCCCTAACCCATTTTCTCTTGTGTGAGAAAAGGATTGGAAATATTCTTAGGAAAACTTTTCTATGAATCTCACACTTTGTGCCCTTACTGTACATTGTTCTCAACATCTGGAAATCATTAAACGCAATGTTTCCTCTTATCAGCCCCAATTTTGCCTTTGGTCACCGTTCAATACCCTGCCTCCAGCTCCTCCTAGATCTACTCATCGCCCAGAAGGGGGCGTTATTGCCCACATTGAGAAACGCTGCTTTAGACCAACGGTCTAACGTCGGCAACCGTTGGTCCATGGAGAAATTTGAACATTAATCAACCAAAGGTTACGCGAAGTATTACGAAAGAAATGCAAAATACTTAGTTACTTTTTTCACACATTGGGGTTTTTTATTCAAATCTAAAATCAAAAACAAAGTGACTGTTAACAATAAACAATATTGTGAGTGAGATTGCCGTCTTTCGTTTAAAAGCGCGAAGAATCCATAAACTTGTTTCAAACAAGCAGCAATGAACTTTAGGCTTGTATTAATTTATTATAATTAAACATGTGAGTTTCATATTAATATATATAGTAAAATCGAACTTTTATGATCATTATTCTACAGATTTTGTATCGTTTAAAAAGTTCATGATAATGGTCCACGGGATTCAAAATTGTACTTTAGTAGTCCGTGAGGTGAGAAAGGTTGCCGACCGCGGCTTTAGAACACTTGACAGGTGTGTAATTAGTGAGTTAGAAGTGTGTTGATGAATTATTATTATACACTACAATAGTTGGTCCGCCAAAAACGTTAATCCGCAAAGCTTTAGAACCAAGGACGCTGGAAATTTTGTAGTGTACCTGTATTATATATTATTTTTTACTTATTTTGTTTAGTTTTTATTCACATTTTAAGATAGTCTTGTTGAAAATTATTATTGAAAAGGGCATGATTAATTCAGAATGATCCTACTTTAATTAAAAATTTGAATCAGAAATAATAATGGAATTAATTTTGATGCTGAAATAGGATTACTTAAGTTAAACTATTGTTATGTTTATCGTAATTGTAACGACTTGCTGTTGACGCAATGTAAATTTCGTCATAAATGTATACCAACCTAAGGTCAAAAATGACGTAAACTAGTGATAAACATGTATACCTTTAAATGTTTTATATGAATATCAATCTTGGGTTGCACGAATGACTCAATTAATTATTTTTTCTATTGAAATAGATACTTTTTAGAGTATCTTCAAACATCAATATTTGTAATAAATTAAAGTAAATTCTTGCTTTGAATGAATGATAAATTTAAATTTATTGTATTTTTCTTAACTGTAAGGTATTGCTAGAACATAATATTTTGTTTACGTGTGTTTAACTTATTCTATTGATATAGGAGGTTTTTTTTATATTCGTATTACATAAGTCCACGTTTTGGACGTTAAGCTTCCTAAACATTATTAGAAAATCAACATGTTATAATATAAATGAAGTTCTTTGTATTATAATATTTAACTTATAGCTCTCAGAGGTTAACTTGAGGTCTCAGAGAACTAAGAAAGAATGATAGAATCTCTTATTAAAATAGAAAAATTTTATTTCTTACGATAAATATGTTAAAGTAGATAAACTTACGAACCTTGAAACGTCGAGAAATGCAAAAAAATCGGGGGACTTTTTCTGTATGTATGGATGTTAGTGTGTGTAAGGGCGCTCGATTTTGTTTACCCTTTTTAAACCTTAATAACTCCTGTGCTTTATGTCGAAAATTTATGAAATTTTACAGGGAGGTTTGTGTATAATGGGATTGATGCTATTAAAATTTTGGTGATTAAAGGTCGACGGGATAGGGAGATAAAAGAGGTCGTTTGTCATATCTCGAGTAGGATCATGTAATGACGATTTTACTCTATTAGCATTTACAATTTTTTTTTTAGAAAACCCATCACTATCCCCAAAATTAAGTTTTTTTGCTATTTTATAATAATTAAAACTATAAAAAGTTTTATTTTTATTTTTAATGTCATAACAGATGGCCACATACAGCTTTAAATGCTGCCGGGATAGTTAACAACTCGTTGCCAGATTTTTTAAAATAAATTTGTAATTGTCAAAATTAATACTGATGAAAAGCTGTGCTGTACGATAGTTAAAAATTTTTGTTAGTCATATTAAAAATATAAGAAAATGTGAATTTTTGCTTACAAAAATCTTAAAGTATAATTACTGTATGAAATATTAAAGTATAATGTACTGAATGAAAGAGCGAGTTGTCTGGATATCGAGTACTGCCATGATCTAAAACCATGAATATTAAGAAAAGCATATCGAATTAGAAATAATTATTTAATAAGAATTCAAATAATTAAAGTTGCTTTCCTGTATTTTGAAAAATTTTAACTTTTAAGCTATTTAAATTACTAATTTTTCCAATTTAAATCTTTATAATTCGATTAGAAGTATATAATTTGTGAATTTGTAAACGGATTGAAAAGTTATTAATCTCATTTAAATTTATAAATGAAACTTCATATTTTTTTCTTAATATAGAATTTATGTTTTATATCAGTAAAATTCATATTCGCAAAGAATAAATAACAAAAGAAATTACTTTATTGACAGTAAAAAATATATAAAAATATATTATCATATTTGCAGCAGTATATTAAAACAATTTCATAGTGAAAAAATATTTATAAATGCTATATAAAAATTAATGATAAAACAAATTAATACGTCTACTTATACATATAAAATGTAAATGTTAATTACTGTTCAAATTCATTTTTTTTAATATAATATATTTTATATCATGAAATACATTTTCAGTATGTACTGTACATTATTAACTGAAAATATTATAAATGAAAGAAAATAATTTATTTTTACATTTTAGCAAACGCGGGTATACATACATTCATAATATCGGTTTGACAAATTTGTAAAATCTCAAAAAATGTAATTAATTTTAATATAAATTTAAATACAAAATTAGTATTTATATAAAAATTATACATCTCTGTTTTAACTACTCCTATAGTTAAATCTCAATACAGCGTTCTCCTAAATATCGCCACACTTGTTTTAATAATTTGCAAGTTCACGGGCAAATAAACAATGGCATTATATCAAAGTTGTACAGCCATATTATCTTATTTTAAAATCAAAAATTAAAATCATGAGAAGAATTATTTGTTGTTCTAATTTCAACAACATAGTTTAATTCATTTAATTCAGTTTATTCAGTTAATTCATAGTTTATTCATTTTTGTTCTTTTTAGAACAAACATAATTGACATAAAAGAATCGTGCAAATAAGAAAAAATACGAAACATACATTACAATAATAATAAATATTGGTCTTAAAGGAAATCTACAATCATCTCTAAACGCTCGGAAATAAAATGCCATATAACACAGAAAGCAACCATATAGCATTTGAAGAATTTGTATAGAAGTCAATGCCATGCTACAATATTTTGGTATTTTTATATTTAAAGCAGCCAACATGTAATATGTGTACATAAGCGAATGAACAAAATAATTGGCAACAATAAATCCATGACCAATAGGAAGTCTGTTGGCAATAGCGAAAGCTGTGATGATTGCAGTTAGAGCATGATGATAGTAATGAAGAAAGGTGAGTTTTCTTTTACGTAACACAATAAACACAGTGTCACCATATTCGATATTTTTAAGAATCTTAAAAAGCCATCCCCAAAATACGGAAGCATTCATTNAAGAAAGGTAAGTTTTCTTTTACGTAACACAATAAACACAGTGTCACCATATTCGATATTTTTAAGAATCTTAAAAAGCCATCCCCAAAATACGGAAGCATTCATTTGCAAACCATAATTTTGATCGCAGATAGAGAAGGCCATGCTAAAATCCCATACCAGATGTAAATATCCGGGTAACATACGAACAGTAGCAAATATGCTGATAAATGCCATTGTAAAATTCCAAAAAGCTAGTAAATACTTCAGTTCGAAAGCTTCTTTTTCTTTCATGTATGATCTTAAATTAAATATAACTACTAAATAAACCATGGAATAATATATTTGATGATGCCATGTTTTATTTTCAGTTTCTATCACTTCTACTCCATCAATTAATTTTTCAAATTGAAATGGTTCTAGTACTGGAAATGTTACGTTTGCCATAATTGCTTGTTTTATTCTGAAAGAAAAAAACTAATGTTAAAATTTAAATAAGATAAAAGTTTAATATTCTAAGACATAAATTTACAGCTTCTCATTCTGGTTTATGCGGATAAAATTTTTCCCAGCTGATTTTTAACTTATGGCGATAAGATGACCCTTTTATAATCTTATAATTTACACTTTGATTTGAAATTAAACTAAATATTATAAACTACTCAGTTTTGATCTACTTCCTATAAGAATTAAATTAAAAATAATAATAATTAATAACAGAAATAATATTACGCTGAATACTGTATTTAAAGGATTTGATTGAATTCGACGAATTTCATATTAAACAAACCTAGTTAAAAATAATGCAGATGTAGGAACTATAGAGTACACGTAAAAGAGTACTTTATTCAGTGACGTTTTGCTACTCTTAAAGCAAAACGAAATCGAAACTAAAAAAAATCAGGAATATCGTGTCCTGAATTCCCTGTAAATAAAAAGCTAAATAGAAGATGGATACAAGTTTTATGCAGAAGAATTGGACATCTAAAAAAATAGTATTGTTTTTGTATTGGTGTATAATCCCATTAATAATCTTTTGCTTCACTTGCAATTAGTTTTAATTAGTTTCCACTAGTCATGGAAGGCATGTTGACTTATTGCAAATATGAAACTGAATAATAGAATTAGATTTTTAAATTTATTAGTTTTAAATTGATTTTTTAATGGAAAATTACTTTAATAATTACTTAATGTAATTAATAAACTAAATATAAAAACTTTTACCAAAAAGTAATCTATATAATAAGAAACTTGAGGTTTCGAACTACAAATTCCATACATACAGTCTATATTCTTGTGAGTAAAAATAAAAAAAATACTGCATTATGAAATTACGAATATTCATTTTTTATGATTTTCGCGCTCAAGAAGATAACCAAAAAATTAACTTCGGTACATTTCAATAACAAGATATGAAAATAAGTCCACCATATTTACAAAATAGTGTAAAGCTTTAATTTACTTATTTTAAAAGTTGAATTTAAAAATGATTACTAAATAGTATTATCTTTATTATTTATGTAATGGTTATTTATATTATACATACATATATATATATATTGGTATGGTAATACATATTATATATATGCATATATACAGTACTTTATATTTATAGATCTGGTGTATGCAGCTTGCATTCTAAACAAAGTAATGATGAGGTAGGGTAAACCTTCGACAATTAACAGTTGTGCTGTTCCATTAATTTTGTCAGAATATTATAAGCATTTCCAAGAAGCCACAACTAAACTATCAGATCAACTACATAGTCATTTTTGTCATATTTTTCGTTTCCATACTTATGTAGTTATTTTTGTGTTTATTAAACGTTTTCACTTTGATTCCTGAGCGTTTGTGCCCATCATTGGCCTGATAAGCCCTCACTATTATCTGACTCACGGTTGTTGATAATTTAATTAATATAACTCTCAAACACGTTTATAAATTTACTTTGTTTCATCATAATTTCACAATTTCTACGAAAACTTAATAATTACTACGAAATTTCATCACGAATACGATTTCTACGAAAAATAAATAATTAATTAGGACTTGTCCGGGTGTAAACCGGCCTGATGGAAACACTATTTATAAGTCTTTGAAAGTTCACGTCTCCGAGGGCGATAGCCGAATGGATAAGACACTAGGCACTGAAGCTAAAGCTTAAAAAATAGAAAAAAAAAAACAGACGTTGTAGGTTCGAACCTTCAGAATTCTAGTTTAACTGTTTTTATGTGTAACATTACATTATTACAAGTACTTGTATTCTTCACGTTTAAAGCTTATAAAACAAGTGATTAAAATTGTGACGTCTATTTCCTATTATTATTATTTTATTTAGCTCTAGTGTCTAGCGTCTTAACTACTGGACAATCACTGCCCTGAAACTTTCAAAGACTTATAAGCTAAACACTAAATTTTCAGAAGCTCATTTTTAGGAAACGCTTGATTAGGGGTTCTATTGATTGGACAAGAACCAATTTGTGTTTAAGGTTACGTGCTCACCAAGTTTTATTCAAATCAGGTACCCGAATATCTGGTCCTCTCCTTGTAAGTTACAACTTATACATATTAGAGAGGTTGCGGTCGACGTTTTCATCACAAAAACGTGAACGTCGGACGTTCAGCACCTAGAAGTTTGACAATGGCGTTTGAAACGTCGAGCATGATTCCACTGACGTTCCAAACGCCATTGTCAAACTTCTAGGCGTCCGACGTACACGTTTTCGTGATGAAAACGTCGACCGCAACCTCTCTACTACTTTTGCTTTTCAGACGCCAAACTGATAAAACTATCATTACCTGCATTAATTAGTAAATAAAACTGGTGGCGATAAGTAATTTGAAATGACGAAAAAATTTAAAACTGGTAAATGGTTGGCAATATTTAAAAATTTTTCCTGTATATATTATATTTATATAAATATTTATTCAAAATGCTATCTAAAAGGTTATCTCAGTGTGTTTGTGATTTACATAAGCTTGACGTCAAAACCCACGGATACTTTCCTGACTTTCAACAAAAAGGTAATGTTCATCAAAAAATGACCTTGTAAAGCTTTTTCCATAGATGATTAGATGATGTGAGGATTTTGCAATTAGTCGTTTCCTGTTTCAATTGCTGACATAGAATTCGCTTGTGCCAACGATAGATCTGACATCTAGCGGTATTAGCGCGAACTACGTGATGGCGGCTGCTATGGGTATAAAGTCTGTGGTCTGCTAGAATTAGAAAGTGTTCAACCTGCAATGGTAAGTAATAAGGATTACTGTGAATTTGGATGTAAGTCTAAAGGTTCATCAAACTCAGTACATATGCGCACATTCCCAAAAAAATAAATTACTGCGAAAAAAGTGGGAAATAAAAGTTTAGTTATCACTTCAGTTTCACCAATACCTAATTTTGGTGAGCTTAAAATTTATTTTTTATTTTTACAGACGTTCTCAACCTATATTATAAATGTTCCAAAATGGAACGTACCTTTTTTGAATATTTTATATATTTAAAATAAATTTTAAAAAGTGTGTATATTAAATAAATAAATAAAAAGTAAATAAACAAATAAAACAGAAAACAAAGCTAACTAGAAAGAAACATGATTTAAGGGTTTTTAAGTCCCATTCTTTTTTCTATTATATATTTCCATGCTGTTGGAAGAGCATTAGCATTTAGACAACAAATTAGGCATTTTACTTTTATAAATTTCCACCTTTTCCATCTCCAACGCAATTAATGCAGAATGCACCGTTTTAATGACTTTTGCCTCTTCCTATTTTACAACCGCTCGTTCGGTCTGCGCTATAATCGCTAATATTGTGTTGTTGTGCCCTTTGTCAACATTGTATCTATGTTCTCGCAGATTTACCATCAGGTTTCTTCTAGTCACACCCACATAATCTTTTTCAATTCTTAACTGTTGATTTTCAAATAGTATTTTATATACCCCAGCTTTCTCTTCCTTTTTTACGCTATCTTTATCGTTCCGTAGCAAGCTATAGATATTGGGTGCTCTTTTTCTTGTAAAAACTCGAGAATGGTCTATAAAAGAGCACCCAATATCTATAGCTTGCTACGGAACGATAAAGATAGCGTAAAAAGGAAGAGAAAGCTGGAGTTTATAAAATACCATTTGATAACCAATAGTTAGGTGTCTCAAAGGATTATAGGTTGAGAACGTTTGTAAAAATAAAAAATAAATTTTAAGCTCAGCAAAATTAGGTGTTGGTGAAACCCTAAGTGAATTAGTTGCTAAGAGGTGGAGATATGAAGTTATGTTTTAGCATTTCCTCTTCTTATAAGACATCTTTTTCGATCACCCACGTATTCTAAAATGTCACAAAGTAATCATCATAATTTAAACAACTACGAAATCAACTAGGACACAAATGCGGATAAAACGTTTTGACTACAGAGAGAAAAGATATTAAAAAGACAACACACACATGTAACTCTCGTATGTTGCCACGTACTCTATACCCTTTGTGGCAGCCATTTTGATCGACTCATACTCCACCTATATTTACTGGCACAAGCGAATAGCAATGAAATAATATAGATATCTTCAATAACATATTTAAAAAGCTTTGAATTTTTTATGTTTTCTAAATACAAATGAAAAATTTTGCTTATTGGATCGAGGCACCTCTGCATAAGCTTTGTATAATTCTATTAATGTATAAATTTTTTCTGTTCAAGTTGACAAATGATATTCATTCGATTTTTGTATATAATATAAAAATTTTAATAAAATATTACGTACAATAGGATTACTTCAAATGAAATGGAATAGAATCGAAACGACAATACCTATACCAAACAATATCATAATTCATGCTACTAACATTTTAGTGTATTAATACAATTCATTAACTTACAATAGAGATAAATATCAGGAAGGTCATGAAATAAAATGATTAATATCGTTATATAATAAATGCTTAGTTAAAATTAATTGAATTACAATTAAAATAAACAATTTCAATTATGTTTTTATCAATTTAATTTTCTATTTATATAAAAATTTTTTACTAATTATTTACATTTTATTTATAAATAAACTACAAAAATTATCTTCAAATTGACATACAGTATTTAATAAAAGTATTTGTAAAATATAATGTGAAAAAACATTCATTAGTTTTTAACATTAAAAAAAACTGTAAATTTTAGTTATAATGGATTTATTATATTTTAATTGATTGCAAGTTAAAATTATATTAGTTAATAAAATAGAAGTAATATTTAATAATAGTACTAATAGTTAAAGTAGTAATAATTATACTCACTATGCAGTCCAACAAATTTTAATTTGAGCAAACAATTGGAAAAATTAGATGTTAATAGACGAGAGATTATCTCTCCCTTCAAAAAATAACTGAAAATAAAAATATATATTTCATTGACAAAAAGATCAGGGATTAAATTACAATTAAAATTCTGTATAATAGAAGAAACACTTTAAGAAATAAACTATTGTCTGTAGTTTTTACCAATGACATATTTTTAATTTGTGGCACAATCAGAAGAATATTTTTAACAAAGTTTATACATTGAAATAGAAAAATAAGCCTGAAAATGAAGTTCAACTCAGTCGTATAACTGTTGGGTTCTTGAAACGTGTAAAAACGACTGATTATAAAGAGAATCTTTTAATTTTTTTTTCGTTTATTATTTTTTCTATTATAAAGAAATTTTAATCCTATAAAAACTATTTAATGTAAAATATATTAAATTTTTTTGGTATATTAAATAATATATTCATTACAATATGTATATTTTGCAAGATCTTAACAAATATTTTATATTCTTATTTAAGTAAATAGAATTTGTATAAAGATACATTCGTATATATTGATACATTTATATAGCATTGACTTTAAAAGTACCTTCTTCGATTTGACAGATTCAAAAATTCAAAATCTTTATTATAAAGATTTTAACATTCTTTTTCAAATTAAATATTACAAAAATAAAGTTAAAAAAATTATTTAATTATTATGTCATTAATGATTATGTCATTAATCAAAATTATGTCAAATTATTAATCAAAATTATTATGTCATTAATGATGAGAAAATCGCGATAGTTTTGCGACATTCTTTAATTAATTGTGGTCGATCATAATTAAAAATGATAAAAATAAAATAGAAGGAAGTATTTTTAACATTTTTACAAATATGGCTGATTTTTACTATCTTCTGTTTAGGAGAAGATAAGCTAAAGTGATTTTTAAATAATCAATACATAAAGGTATAGTAGATTGAATCGCTAATTGGGTTGCAATTTGAAAAAAATTATAGACCTATAAATTCCCACTGTCTTCCGTCTATCTATCTGTCCTTCTTTAATCTCAAGAAAAGAGATAGGTAGATGAAAACTGAGACCAGATATGAAAATCGCAGGGGCAGGAAAGCCCGATTAACTATATGCAAACATCTTACGAAAACCAGAAGTCACGTTATTTCAATTCGAACAATTTCCCCTGAAATAAGTTACATAGATGACTGTTACGACTCTATTACCAACGGAAAGGTATGATGTACGGGGACAAGACACTACTATTTTGAGGTAGAGAGCATATAGTGTACAGTATTTTACATTAAATAAATTAAAAATTGCAGCCCGGCATTGTGACGATGTCACAATAAATAATTGCTCGTTTCTTTATAATTTTTTATAGTTCTATTTGATATATATTAGCATATTTGGCAAAATAATTATTCGTGCATTCAGTTTTAGGCTTCTTGCTTTTACCTAATGTTGTCAATTATAACATAGAAATTAATTATGACTAATTATTAATTATCAACATATAAAAATATTTTCTTTTATATGATCTTAGAAGCACATTGCGGAGATAAATTTACATTATTATTTTCTTTCGCATTTCTCTTCACCTTATTAATTTTGTCTTGCCGATATAGGAAGAATGAGGAAAAACAGGAGTTGAGGAATTTTTATTTATTTATTTTTAATAATAATAATAACCTCAAATGTTATAAACAGTTGTTAAATTCAATGATTCTAATTTATTATATAATCATTTCTACAAACATTTTATACGTTTTATCTATATATTTTTTCTTCTAAAGGTTAGTTAGTTTTAGAATATATTATATGTATGCAACTTTTATTATAAATGAAAGGTATTGATAAATATATAAATAGTATAAAGGTATTTATAAATAGTACTAAAGGTATTGATATGTTTTTTTCCAGGGACTGGCCGCTGGTTTGAAGAGCAGTTCACAACAATGGCGATTTTACCTCCATCTACTTCTTTCGGTTTGCAAATTTAGTTGCAATATTTAATAATTTGAAACACTTATTAAGCACAATGCAGACCATACACCATTTTGTCTCACTACCATCATGCCCCACCTTCCCCTATAAGTACTGTACTGTACTGTACATACGTAGGCCTATATAATTATACAATGTGACTATTAAAAAGAGGCATTAATGATTACGAAAATGTTCGTTAATCGTTTATGACACATATTTTTATTAGAAATTCAAATTCAAGAATATGGATTTAATCTAGGCGCTGAAAATTGTTATTTATATTAAATTAACCTTTATGTTAATCGTAATGAAATTACTTTACGATGGATATGATGTAAATTGAGTTTCCGATGCACTCCATGTTTGAAAACTAATTTAAATCATGTAATAGTTTTTAAATTTATATAGAATATTAAAAATAGGTTACATTAATAATTTAATAAATTGCTGTTTTATATTCTTTTTGACGTAAAAATAAATTTAATACCTAATATTTATGTAATAAATTAGATTTATTTTATATAAATAGGAATAAATATGTTAGATTTATCGGAATACAGTATATGTATAATTACAAATTTATTTTAAATATTCAGTTGAGAATTAAGTTTTATTATTGATAAAAAAATAAATAAATAAATTTTAAATTTATTCTTAGCATAAATTACTAAAAATTTCCCGTAATATAATCTTAAAATTTATTATTATTACTTTTATTATTATTAAATTTTAAGATTATATTACGGGAAATTTTTAGTAATTTACAAACTGTAATAATATAAACGCTTTAAAAAATAAAACAAAAAAAAAGAACATCATTAATTTTATTAAAGCTAATTGTTAGGAAAATTTTATCTACAATCTTTAACAATTACTTTGTCAATTAAGTTTTTATAAGTTTCTGCGTAACTGTACATTACTTTTGTGCATGTACTGTACTGTACATGAGAAATATCACTTCGCCATCCAATTACAGATGAGTGCGTGAAATTTAAATGTTTTGAATTTGAATCGTCTAATTTGCATTATTTTAAACTTCCAAGTACTGTACATGTTTTACGTTTCCGTGGAAATTTCTCATTTTTCAAATTCTCGAAATCATTTGAATGAATTGAATTAAAATTATTAACAGAAGTAACATACGTATGCAGTTTAACGTACAAATTTTAGTGTTAGCTACTGGGGCTTTTAACATGCATAATGCATTTTCAGACATTTTAACGTGCATATATCAGTGTATATATCTGGTGTTTTTACATTCATATCTGGCATTTTTATTCATGCGTTTAAAATCGCAATATATGCGATTTTAAACACATAAATCCATCACTACTGGCTGATATGTTTTGCTATAAATTAATACCACAACCAGTTATGTAAGTCTTCTAATTAAAGCTCTATGTGTTTTCAAAATTGCAAAGTCCTTGAATTATTCTGTATATGAAAGACACTTTTGAAGATTAATCTGTAGTGCTGACCTTCATTGAAACAATTCTAAGAATAATAAAATATTTAATCATTGACAAATACTGTTGCTTGAATTTGTTATCACAGTTTCTTAATATAAAATTTCAGTGATAAATATAATTATTTATATTCAGATATTCGTAAGAAGTTTAAGAATTTCCACAAAGAGTGAACCAATTACATTTATCGAATAAATAAATAAATATGTATATATAGAGTCCTTCCAACGTAAGTTGTCAGTTGTCAAATCAAACCAAACCACTTTTCAACCAGTTTTAGGGTGATACTGCTTTATTAGTTGTGAATAGTTAATTATTTATTGCATGTTTGGTATATTATGTAAGCGGTTTCTCCCCTATGAATGGTTTAAAAGTAGTTTATTCTGGTTTGGCAACTGCCAATTTACGTTGGAAAGACTATACTCGTATATAACCTATATACATATTCATATAGTTTTCTACGTAGTCAATATTCGTGAAGTTTAGTCTCAATGAAATGAATATAAAGAAACCATATTAATGAAATAAATGTAATATGCAAAAATGAAATATCATATTACAGCAAGACTTTATACATTTACGGACATATATCAAAATTATTTAATACAAATATAAATATCATTATTTCCAAATAATGTATCAAAGAGTAATCTAAAATCTCAAATACTTCACCAACTTTCCTGTTTAAACGTAAAATACTTTATGTAAGGAGCAGGAGAAACCATTTTTCTAAATTGCTTAAATGATATTATTAAGTCAAACTGAAGACAGAAGAAATACAGTTTGAGTAAGTATTTTGCTTCAAAAATTGTAATTTATCAAAATTTAAATGATTGTTAAAATTACATAGTATTATTTGAAATTAAAGGAAATTGACAATTAGCTTTTCATCACGAAGAGGAAAAAATAAAAATAATACTAATAAATAAACTTTTTAATTTGGTCTTCCCTTTACTTTTCCGACTCTCGATTGGTCAAAAATGACCCCCCTCCATGAATTTTACATTTTTGGACTTAGGACACCTTGAAAAGTCGAGAAATGCAAAATAATTAAATAAATAAAAATTGGGGATTTTTTCTGTATGTATTGATGTTAGTGTGTATGGAGGGGCACGATTTTGTTCATCCTCTTTGAAGCTTAATAACTTCTGTGCTTTCTGTCGAAAATTTCTGAAATTTTGCAGGGAGGTTTGTTTATTAAGGAGATCAATACTATTAAATTAGAGGGTGGAGAGAAAAAGGGTGTATATATCTCCAGTAGGGTGAGACTTAAGTTTTACTTGTTATTAGCATTTACAATTTTTTATAAAACCCATCTCTATGCTCAAAATTAAGATTACTGCCATTTTATAATAATTAAAAATATAAAAAGTTTTTTTTAAAATATGATAAAAGGTGGTGCCACCAAAGTTTCTGGGAAAGTTAAGCAACTGGTAGCTGGAGGTTTTTTTTGTCAGTTTTGTAAATTTGTAATTATTATAGGCTAGGTGTATGAGAAGACATTTGTATCATGTTTAATATGTAAAAAAGAAGAAATTCAAGTATTTGAAATAAATTATGAATTATTAAAACTAGAATGTTATTTTAAATTTTGTTATTGGGCTTTTGGATATAGATATTAAATTTA